TTCTAGCCCGAAACTTGCCGACACCCCCCACTGCGCGCTCACCACGTCCCGCCCACCCACCCCATGCGAGCTCAGCTCTTGGGACCCCCATCACGACCATTTCTGACCCGAAACGTACGGACACGCCCCACCGCGCCTCCACCACGCTCTGGCGCCCCCACGCCACGCGAGCTCAGTTTTTTGAAACCCACCACGCACCATCTGCCCGAAACTTACCGACACAATCCGGCGGGGCCCCCCCACGACTACCCCGGCACCCCCACCCCACGCAGCTCATTCTTGGACCCTCCACAGGACAATTTCTGGTCCCAAACTTACCGACATCTCCCACCGCGTCCCCACCACGCCCCAGCACCCCCACCCCACGCGAATTCAGTTCCTGGGACCCCCCACACGACAATTTCGGGCGGCAAACTTACCGACACGTTCCACCGCGACCCCACCACGCCCCGGCACCCCCATCCCACGCGGCGAGCGCAGTTTTTTGGACCTCCCACAGGACAATTTCTAGCCCGAAACTTGCCGACACCCCCCACTGCGCGCTCACCACGCCCCGCCCACCCCCCCCATGCGAGCTCAGCTCTTGGGACCCCCATCGCGACCATCTCTGACCCGAAACGTAGGGACACGCCCCACCGCGCCTCCACCACGCTCTGGCGCCCCCACGCCAGCGAGCTCAGTTTTTGAAACCCTCCACGCGACCATTTCTGGCCCGAAACTTACCGACGCAATCCGCCGCGCCCCCACCGCGTACCGGCACCCCCACCCCACGCGAGCTCAGTTCTTGGGACCCATCCACAAGACAATTTCTGGCCCCAAACTTACCGACATCTCCCACCGCGCCCCCGCCACGCCCCAGCACCCCCACCCCACGCGAATTCAGTTCCTGGGACCCCCCACACGACAATTTCGGGCGGCAAACTTACCGACACGTTGCACCGCGCCCCCACCACGTCCCGGCACCCCCATCCCACGCGGCGAGCGCAGTTTTTTGGACCTCCCACAGGACAATTTCTAGCCCGAAAATTGCCGACACCCCCCACTGCGCGCTCACCACGCCCCGCCCACCCCCCCCATGCGAGCTCAGCTCTTGGGACCCCCATCACGACCATTTCTGACCCGAAACGTAGGGACACGCCCCACCGCGCCTCCACCACGCTCTGGCGCCCCCACGCCACGCGAGCTCAGTTTTTGAAACCCTCCACGCGACCATTTCTGGCCCGAAACTTACCGACGCAATCCGCCGCGCCCCCGCCACGTACCGGCACCCCCACCCCACGCGAGCTCAGTTTTGGGACCCTCCACAAGGACAATTTCTGGTCCAACTTACCGACATCTCCCCACCGCGCCCCCACCACGGCCCCAGCACCCCCCACCCCACGCGAATTCAATTCCTGGGACCCCCCACGGAACAATTTCGGGCGGGCAAACTTACCGACCGTTCCCACCGCGCCCCACCACGTTCCAGGCACCCCAATCCACGCGGCAGAGCGGTATTTTTATGCACCCCCCACAGGCCATTTTCTAGCCCGAAAATGACGACACCCCATTGCGCGTCACACGTCCCGCCCCCCCCCCCCCCCCCATGCGAGCTCAGCTCTTGGGACCCCCATCACGACCATTTCTGACCCGAAACGTAGGGACACGCCCCACCGCGCCTCCACCACGCTCTGGCGCCCCCACGCCACGCGAGCTCAGTTTTTGAAACCCACCACGCGACCATTTCTGGCCCGAAACTTACCGACGCAATCCGCCGCGCCCCCACCACGTACCGGCACCCCCACCCCACGCGAGCTCAGTTCCTGGGACCCTCCACAGGACAATTTCTGGTCCCAAACTTACCGACATCTCCCACCGCGCCCCCACCACGCCCCAGCACCCCCACCCCACGCGAATTCAGTTCCTGGGAGCCCCCACACGACAATTTCGGGCGGCAAACTTACCGACACGTTCCACCGCGCCCCCACCACGTCCCGGCACCCCCATCCCACGCGGCGAGCGCAGTTTTTTGGACCTCCCACATGACAATTTCTAGCCCGAAACTTGCCGACACCCCCCACTGCGCGCTCACCACGTCCCGCCCACCCCCCCCATGCGAGCTCAGCTCTTGGGACCCCCATCACGACCATTTCTGACCCGAAACGTAGGGACACGCCCCAACGCGCCTCCACCACGCTCTGGCGCCCCCACGCCACGCGAGCTCAGTTTTTGAAACCCTCCACGCGACCATTTCTGGCCCGAAACTTACCGACGCAATCCGCCGCGCCCCCGCCACGTACCGGCACCCCCACCCCACGCGAGCTCAGTTCTTGGGACCCTCCACAGGACAATTTCTGGTCCCAAACTTACCGACATCTCCCACCGCGCCCCCGCCACGCCCCAGCACCCCCACCCCACGCGAATTCAGTTCCTGGGACCCCCCACACGACAATTTCGGGCGGCAAACTTACCGACACGTTCCACCGCGCCCCCACCACGTCCCGGCACCCCCATCCCACGCGGCGAGCGCAGTTTTTTGGACCTCCCACAGGACAATTTCTAGCCCGAAACTTGCCGACACCCCCCGCTGCGCGCTCACCACGTCCCGCCCACCCACCCCATGCGAGCTCAGCTCTTGGGACCCCCATCACGACCATTTCTGACCCGAAACGTAAGGACACGCCCCACCGCGCCTCCACCACGCTCTGGCGCCCCCACGCCACGCGAGCTCAGTTTTTGAAACCCTCCACGCGACCATTTCTGGCCCGAAACTTACCGACGCAATCCGCCGCGCCCCACCACGTACCGCACAACCCCACCCCAACGCGAGCTCAAGTTCTTGGACTCCACAGGACAATTTCCGGTCCCAAACTTACCGACTCTCCCACCTGCGCCCCCCACCACGCCCCAGCACCCCCACCCCACGCGAATTCAGTTCCTGGGACCCCCCACACGACAATTTCGGGCGGCAAACTTACCGACACGTTCCACCGCGCCCCCACCACGTCCCGGCACCCCCATTCCCACGCGGCGAGCGCAGTTTTTTGGACCTCCCACAGGACAATTTCTAGCCCGAAACTTGCCGACACCCCCCACTGCGCGCTCACCACGTCCCGCCCACCCCCCCATGCGAGCTCAGCTCTTGGGACCCCCATCACGACCATTTCTGACCCGAAACGTAGGGACACGCCCCACCGCGCCTCCACCACGCTCTGGCGCCCCCACGCCACGCGAGCTCAGTTTTTGAAACCCTCCACGCGACCATTTCTGGCCCGAAACTTACCGACGCAATCCGCCGCGCCCCCACCACGTACCGGCAACCCCACCCCACGCGAGCTCAGTTCTTGGGACCCTCCACAGGACAATTTCCGGTCCCAAACTTACCGACATCTCCCACCGCGCCCCCGCCACGCCCCAGCACCCCCACCCCACGCGAATTCAGTTCCTGGGACCCCCCACACGACAATTTCGGGCGGCAAACTTACCCACGCGTTCCACCGCGCCCCCACCACGTCCCGGCACCCCCATCCCAACGCGCGGCCAGTTTTTTGGAACCTCCACAGACAATTTCTAGCCCGAATCTGCCGACCCCCCCCCACTGCGCGCTCACCACGTCCAGCCCGACACCGCCCCCCCATGCCGAGCTCAGCTCTCGGGGCCCCATGACGACCATATTGCTGACGAAAACGTCGGGGCACGCCCCACGCACGCCTCCACCACGCTCTGGCGCACCCACTCCACGCGAGCTCAGTTCGCGAGCTCAGTTTTTGAAGCCCTCCACGCGACCAATTTCTGGGCCCGAAACTTACCGACGCAATCCGCCGCGCCCCCACCACGTACCGGCAACCCCACCCCACGCGAGCTCAGTTCTTGGGACCCTCCACACGACAATTTCTGGTCCCAAACTTACCGACATCTCCCACCGCGCCCCCACCACGCCCCAGCACCCCCACCCCGCGCGAATTCAGTTCCTGGGACCCCCCGCACGACAATTTCGGGCGGCAAACTTACCGACACGTTCCACCGCGCCCCCACCACGCCCCGGCACCCCCATCCCACGCGGCGAGCGCAGTTTTTTGGGCCTCCCACAGGACAACTGCTGACCCGCAACGTACCGACACCAACGGCCGTTGCACCAGGTTAGCTCGGCGGCCTCTGGCGCGCCCAGGCTCGCGGCCGGGCGGGCGCGCAGGGCCGCTCGCAAAGCGCCATCGTAGTCGCCTTGGCCGGCGAAGGCGGCAGGGGGCCCAGCGCGCACGACGCGCAAGGCCGCTCACAAAGCGCCCTCGCCGCCGCCTGGGGCCCGCGAAGGCGGCATGGGGCACGGGGCCCAAACGCGCGCACGCACCTACACCGAGACCTACACCTACACCTGCACCTGCACCTACACCCACACCCACACCTACACCTACACCTACGCCCGCGCGCGCACTCCTAGACTCACCCACATGTCTTGCGAGGCGTCCGAACATGCACTGTCGAAAGTGGCGGTCAAAAGGTTGGGGACAATCGAAGCCAGACATACACTAAATGGGGCCCGGAAGGCGCAGGGAACTCTGCCTAGCCAAAGCGACGGCGAGAGAGGCAGGGAGGAATCAGAGAACGAAGGGTAGTGGCAGGGGCGGGGCGGGCCAGGTGAAGTCTGACACGAAGGCGCAAAACATATGAAGCTCGTAAGCCGTAAATCATATGCCCGCGGCACTGGCAGGAATTTTCGCCCGAGTTACTCATGGCATCACGCTCTTCGCAAATCGGATACCTTACTAGATGTTATGAACCAGCTGTGCTCAGGGTCTGGGACATTTGAGCCAGCCCCCGCTGAATCGCAAACTCGGGCGCGCAGGAGGCGCCTGGTAGCATCTGTGCAGAGTCGCTGCTCGGGCAGAGAAAAAGGTTGCTGCTGCGGCGGCCGTTGGTGTAACTTTCGCGGCGTCCACCGCGGCGGGTGGAAAGCGCCCCGCCTCTGCGCCGACGTGAATTCGAATCGTCTGCTGCACTGAGGCCGTACCCAACATGCGAGACTACTTAGCATAGTCCTCTTGCAGCGAAGCGGTGCCGGGCGCAGTAATCGACCCGTGCCTCGCCGATGTCTGGATCGCCGCACCCGCCCTCGTAAGGCGTCGATCGATGCCTCCTGCGCGCACTGCGCGCCAGAGCTGGACCCCGGATGGATGGATGGAGGAGCGAGGTCGACGACAGACTCCGCGCAAACGCTGTTTCGCTGCGCAAGTGCTGTTCTGCAGCATCCACGAGGCATCCGAGAGTTCGGGGCACGATAGCGCCGAATATTGCAATGGTCGCGTTCCGAGCCGAAATTATGTTGAGACCAAGCGATCTGCAAATAAACTGTCGCGCGTCGACACTGGGCCTGCGGGGCGCGCGGGCAGAGAGCAGCGCGCCGTAACGGCCCTGAGGCCGCGGTACCACGTACGATTCGGATGTTGTTTAGGTGGTGCTACCAAGTCGCTGCTGCTTAACATATGCAACAACATTCGGGAGCCATCCGGAAGTCTGGAAGATGCTACCACCGCGCATGGCAACGGTCGCGGTCCAAGAATGTGTTACCAACCCACGACCTGTCCTTTGGTCTGGTACCCTGGCCCGTCGACATGGCTCGGGTTTGAAATCAATATTGAGAATCGCATCCGGAGTCGCCCTGACGTCAACAATGTCGTTGAAAGCGACGAAGGGTGGGAACTGCTGAAGCCAAACTTTCGCGACAAGCACCGGCTGCGCCTCGTTGGATGTGAGCGCCCGTTGCAACGTCTGACCACCAAGAAGTTGAATCTGAAGCTCTGTAAACGACTTCTTGCCTTGCTCCCTGGCGAATGACTCTGCGACGCGTCGGTTGCGCCCGCCAAAGCACGTCGCGATGAGGCCAGCGATGCCGCAAAACTTCATGAAAGTTCGTCCGTCACAGGTGGGCGCAATGCCTTTGCGACTCTCCGTATCTCTGACGTGCCAGCGCGTAGGGCGACAGCCTTGGCGCTGGCGCCGCAGCCAAGACCGACTCTACACCCAGCGGGCAACGCGACAATATCCTCGAACGCGCCAGGTAGCTCGCAATCCTGAATGTCCGACACGCAGGCTACGAACGAAAACCTCTCAGGCAATTTCTGGAACATGCGCGCACTCACCACCTGCCTGTACAGTCATCGGCCTGACCTAAGGAACGATAAATAAGGAACAAAGCCCCTTTCTTCCAAGGAATAACGCATAGGGACCGATGAACAACTACTACATAACGCATGGAGAACAATAAACAACGCATGCAACCCTAAGGAACGACCGAGCCCCTTTTGAAAAGTAAGTGTTCCCTATTCAAACCGCTCGCTGTATCCAATCGTGGCCTCGCAAAGCTCCTCTGCTGCAGCCTCTTCGGCAATATTGGGCCCCATCGGCGCCGAGCAAGCTAGGCTTGATGCTCCCCTGCATCTGCATACACACATGCGGTGAACAACCTCGTGCGGGGCACAAATGTCAATGATACCGGCGTCCCTGGCAAAATCCATCACATCTGGGCACGCAGTGATATTCTCGCCGGAGCCCACGCCGGGGTGATGCTTCAAGTCTTCGCGCCTCTCATTCATTACACCTGTGAGCATCCTGCCATCCTCCAACTTCCCGTCGTGCACCCACAAGATGACGTCCGTCTCGAACAAGCTTGACTCCCGGCACCTCTGGGCTTCCACTCTCGCGGACACACACGCCCACGCGCCGCTGCCAACATAGGCTGCGCGGTATGTTTGTTCCAGGCGCTTGCAGAGCAACGCTTGACTGCCTAGGAGGCTTGCCCACTACGTTGGGTCTACTGATGATCCTGGTGTAAGCGATGGACAGGTCAGCTGCTTCCTCGGCCGCGGCCACGAAGTCGGTAATGCCGTCGCCGATCATGATGATGGTCTCGAACGGGAGACTTGTGCGAATGCCCTGGATGGCCTTGGGCTTGCCGCCTGCGTGTGCTGTCGGATGGGAGAAACCGAACCCAGCAAAGACGGTGGGCTGCAGGGTGATATATGTTCGTTCTGGAAAAGCGTCCTGTTTGCGAAGGCGCGATCAAGCGGCACGTTGAGCAGCTTAGAGGCTGGCAGCGTCAGTTCCTCAAAACTGTCTCTGATGAGGTACATTCGCTTTTACCCAGCGGAAAATCCCAACGGCAGAGGGAGAAAGCAGCGGCGGGAGGGGGGGGGGACAGGGGGGGCGTGGGGAGGCGGGGTGCACGCAGCCCGCGCGCGGGCTGCCCGAATTGCGAATCAGTCTGGCGGCCCCGGGCGCTGCGCTGAACGCGCCTGCAGCGCCCCGCGCCACGGATGATGCACACGATTGCGCCACGATCGCGCAGAGCTCCCATTAGCTCTGCAATGCGAGGGCAGAGACGGCCATCCAGCGGGTGCGCCTCGTGAAAACTCTCGATGGCTGCGGAAGTCGGGCTCGGGACGCCCATGCGTTTCTGCAGGGCTTCCTCCAAAGAGAGCACCTCGTTCATTGCCTGGCTTGTGATTCTCTCCACTTCCGCAGCGTCGGCACCGACAAACTCGGCGATCGTATCCATGGAGTCCTTCCCGCAGACGGTGCAGTCCACGTCGAAGCACACAACAGTGGCAGTCTGCCAAAAGCTTAGCGCATGGGGAGGAGGGGGCTCGGCACCGAGACTGACGTACTTCACGGAGCCGTCGGGGTAGGCAGGCATTGCTGTATACCAGCGGCAAGAGATGGCCTGGAGCTGCCGGGACCTCGGCCGCGAACCAGCACCACCCACGGCAATAGCCGAGGCTTGAGCCAAAAGGCCACGGACACTGTCTCTCCCTCTCTCTCTCTCTCCCCCTCTCTCTCACGCACGCACGCACACACACACACACACACGCACGCACACACACACACACGCACACACACACACACACGCACGCACACACGCACGCACACACACACACACACACACACTTTTTGGCGTCGCGGCCGCGCGCGCAGCGGCGCGGCGTAGAACGTCGGGCAAAGACGCGCGCGGCCGGCTCAGGTCACGCGGCGCGGGGGCACCGGATCCGCCCATAAGGGATCGATAGCATCACTCGCGAGGGGGGCAGACGCGAGGGGAGCAGCGGGGACTGGGCGGGGACAGGAGACGGGGAGAGCGGGAAGACGGAGACCAGAGCAGTGCGCAGCGCAAGCGAGAAGATGGGGGACAGTGATGACCCGCAACGGCGGGGTGAGGACGGACGAGGCGACAAACAAACGAGGGCCCACACACACACACGCACACACAAACACAGACAGACAGACAGACAGACAGACAGACAGACAGACAGACAGACAGACAGACAGACAGACAGACAGACAGACAGACAGAGAGACAAACAGACAGACAGACACACAGACAGACACACAGACAGACAGACATGCATGCGTACATGCATGCATGGACATACATGCATACATACACAAATGCATACATACGTACATGCACATCTACAGACATGCATGCATACATACACACATACATACATACATGCATACATGCATGCATGTATACATACATACATACATACAATTATATATACATGCATGCATGCATACATACGTACATGCATGCAATCATACATGCATGCATGCATACATACAACTATACAGACATACATACACGCGTACATGCATACCTACAAGCATGCATACGTGCATACAACCATACATACATACATGCATGCATACATACATACATCCATTCATATGTACATATATATATATATACATACAGCGATACATACATACATACATACATACATACATGAGTGCATACATATCTACATCCATACATACATGCATACAGACAGACAGACCGATATACACACATACATGCATACATGCGTACATGCATGCATGCATGCATGCATACACACCCACATACATACATACATACATACATACATACATACATACATACATACATACACGTATGTAGACACGTCTCGTATATGTATGCATTCATACATACATGTATACATACATTCACACCCACATACAAACATTCATACACCATACATCAATACCTGTATGCAGGTATACAAACATACATCCATACATACATACATGCATGCATGGACACACACACGTGCACCCAAACATACATGTATACAAGTCTACATGTATGTACTCCTGCATACACACATACACATATCAATGAATACATCCGTACATACATACACACATCTATACCTACATACATCCATACATGCATACATGAATGCATGCATGCATACATACACACATACATGCACACACACACACACATACATACAGCACTAGAACCACGCGCGCGCTTCGCGCGCGCTTAGGTTCTAGCTAGGAGGCGAGCTTGAGTCAACGAAAGTCGCAGGGAAGGGGGCAGGGGGAAGAAGGCCAGAGAGCGCTGAAGGATACAAATACTGGAACCCTCTTGTGATTTTGTGGGGGGCCTCGTCCGGCCGCTCGCTGGGAGTTTGACGTAGCTTCTCGGGAGCCTCTGAACCTGTCGGGGGCCTCCTGGAAGCAGGTTCGAAGCATTTTGGGGGCCGATTTGGGGCTTCTCGGGGCCTCCTTTGGGCCTCTTGGGGGTCTCCTGGGGCCTCTTGAGGGGCCTCCTTGGGGCCTCCTGGCGGCCTCTTGGGGCGGAAGGCTCGAGCTTGCGGTTCGTGGTCCCCCTCTGGGCCCCCTCTTGGGCCCGTCTTGGGGCCCTCTTGGGCCATCTTGGGCGCCTCTTGGGCCGTCTTGGGGCCCTCTTGGGCTGTCCTGGGGCCCTCTTGGAAGCTTCTTGGGCCGTCTTGGGGCGGTCTTGGGCGCCTCTTGGGCTGTCTTGGACGCGGTGAAAGCCCAAGAGGCGAACATGCGACAAATATACGTTTTCCCATGGGTATGGCACGATTTTTGCTTCTTGGGCCTCTCTTGGGCTGCCTCTCGGAGCGTCTTGGAGGCTTCTGGGACCTTCTTGGTGTCATGACAGGCGTCTTGGAAGGCATCTGGAGCCATCGGAGCGCGTTCCGAAGCCGCCTGCGAACGATCTTGGACGGCGTCCGGCGGTCCGACGAGCCTCCGGGCCCCCCGGGGCCCACATTTGTGGTCGGGGTCCCGGCCCCGGGCCCCCGGACCCGGTGCGCCGTTATATGTATATACATGCATACACGCATACACGCTTACATGCATACCCATACGACCAACCTTCGGGTGATGAGGAGGTTGTAGGGAGGGCGAGGGGGGGGAACCAACAGCTGGCTCAACCGATCTCACTATCGATCTCACTCAACGGGACACCACGGGACACCACGGGACACTTGTCGATCTCACCATCGATCTCACTATCGATCTCACTCAACGGGACACCACGGGACACCACGGGCCACCACGGGACACCACGGGACACCGCGGGACAACTCTCGATCTCACTATCGGTCTCACTATCGATCTCACGATCGATCTCACTCAACGGGACACCACGGGACACCACGGGACACGACATCGATCTCCCCATCGATCTCACTCAACGGGACACCACGGGACACCACGGGACACCGCAGGACACCTGTCGATCTCACTATCGATCTCACTATCGATCTCACTTTTTGGGACACCACGGGACACATCGGGTCACCACATCGATCTCAGTATCGATCTTAATATCGATCTCACTATCGATCACAATCAACGGGACACCACGGGACACAACGGGACACCGCGGGACACCGCGAGCCACCGCCGGACGGAAGGACGGGGGAGAATCAGTTGTCTTGACTTCGCCCTTAGCAACGGCGGGTTCATTACTCTCGCGCGCCCACGCAGCTTCGCCTCGCCCGCACGCACGACACGAACGAGACGAAACGATTTCCCGATTGGGGGTCTCCGTTCCGCTGCGCTGTCGCCCCCCGGTCGGGGGTCTCCATTCCCGGTTGGGGGCCTCCGACAAGCACACGCGCACGCATGAAGAGAGATACTGAAGGGGAACTGGAACACACAAATAAATACACACAAATAAAATTATTCCCCATATTTTCCTATAGTTTCTGAGTTTCTGTCTTCCCCCCCAATTCCCATATTTTCCCATATTTTCCTGGGAATCGAGGATTAATTGTGTCTGTGTGTTTTTTTTCCAAGGGCTCCTAAGTTCGCGCTTCGCGCTGCGCGAAGCGCGAAGCGCGAATAACTTCGCGCTCTCGCGCCGCCCCCCCAAAGGGAGAAGAGGAGGACGAGGAGAAGGGGGAGGAGGAAGGAGGACCGCGAAGCGCGAACCGCGAATAACTTCGCGCCCTCCTGGGAGCCCTTGTTTTCCCTCCTGAGATACGCACGCGCACCCGCGGGGGGGCGGCGAGGGCGCCGCGGCGGCGCCTGCGGCGAGCGCGGCGTGGGCCTCGCACGGGCTGCACTCGGCGAAGCCCACGGGCCGGAACGCGTCCTGCGCGCTCGGCGGCTCGGCGGGGCGGCGGCGGGGCCCTCCCAGGCCTCCAGGGTCCGAGGATCGAGGGTCGAGGATCGAGCTTCGAGGGTCGAGGGTCGAGGATGGAGGGTCGAGGCTCGAGGATCGAGGGTCGGGGGTCGGGGGTCGAGGATCGAGGCTCGAGGGTCCAGGGTCGAGGCTCGAGGGTCAAGGATCGAGGCTCGAGGGTCGAGGGTCGAGAATCGAGGATCGATGGTAGAGGGTCGACGGAGGAAAGTCGAGAATCAAAGTCCGAGGATCGAGGATCGAGGGTCGAGGATCGAGAGCCGAGGATTGAGGATCGAGGGCCGAGGGTCGAGGATCGAGGATCAAGGATCGAGGGTCGAGGATCGAGGGTCGAGGGTCAAGGATCGAGGGTCAAGGATTCATCTCGAGGGTCGAGGGTCGAGCATCGAGGATCGAGGGTCGAGGATCGAGGATCAAGGGTGGATGGTCGAGGGTCTAGGATCGAGGATCGAGGGTCGAGTGTGGATGGTGGAGGGTCGAGGATCGAGGGTCGAGGATGGAAGGCCGAGCGTCGAGGGTCGAGGGTCGAGGGTCGAGTTCGAGGGTCGAGGGTCGAAGTCGGAGGACCGAGGATCGAGGGTCGAGGATCGAGTTTGAGGGTCGAGGATCGAGGGTCGAGGATCGAGAGCCGAGGGTCGAGGATCGAGGGTCAAGGGTCGACCTCGAGGTTCGAGAGTCGAGGATCGAGGGTCGAGGATCGAGGGTCGAGGATCGAGTTTGAGGGTCGAGGGTCGAGGGTCGAGGATCGAGGGTCGAGGATCGAGAGCCGAGGGTCGAGGATCGAGGGTCGACCTCGAGGTTCGAGAGTCGAGGATCAAGGGTCGAGGATCGAGGGTCGAGGGTCGAGGATCGAGGGTCGAGGATGGAAGGCCGAGCGTCGAGGGTCGAGGATCGAGGGTCGAGTTCGAGGGTCGAGGGTCGAAGTCGGAGGACCGAGGATCGAGGGTCGAGGATCGAGTTTGAGGGTCGAGGGTCGAGGGTCGAGGGTCGAGGATCGAGGGTCGAGGATCGAGAGCCGAGGGTCGAGGATCGAGGGTCAAGGGTCGACCTCGAGGTTCGAGAGTCGAGGATCGATGGTAGAGGGTCGAGGGTCGAGGATCGAGGGTCGAGGGTAGATGGTGGAGGGTCGAGGATCGAGGGTCGAGAGTCGAGGATCGAGAGTCGAGGGCCGAGGGTCGAGGATCGAGGGTCGGGGATCGAGGGTCGAGCGGCTGGTGGGCGCTGTCCGCCCTCTGGGCCTCCGCGAGGCTCCTCGTGGCCACGGCCTGGATATCCCCTCGAGCTTCACAGTTCACGGTTTGGCTTCTGTGAAAGAGGCCCAGGGACACACAAATAAATGTACACAAATAACAGGGTTCCCCATACGTTTCATAGTTTCTGGATGTTCGTGTTCCCCCCCCCACTGTCCACGATTCCCAAGTGAACCGCGCGAAACACCAGGGCGAAAGCGCGATTCCTGAGCGTCGAGGGCGCGGCGTTTGGATCAAGTGCGAGGAAGTCCCACGCGAAAGCGCGACTCCTGCCGAATTTGTGCGGGAGTCCCGCGCGAAAGCGCCATTTCTCAACACATTTAAAGCCAAATCAGGCGGGAGCAGCTGTTATGTTTGTAAAAACGGTGCCAGGGGCACAATTAGGTGACCCCAACCTTTCCTTTGTAAAAAAATGCGAAGCCCGGGAGGAGCATTTTATTGACACACACACAATGGCCATGGGGCAGAAGGAATCAACAAACATGCATTGTTGAAAATGAATTCAACAGCTGCTCGCGTGCCGTTCAACACTTACATCCCAAGCCCTCGGTACCCGCCGTCTTCGTCTTCGATCGTGCCTCCTTGGAGGTATATCGTCCTTGCCTGCCACGTGCATTTCGCGCAGCCCATAAAACAGTTGAAAAGAGGACGGACGCAAGGGGGAGGGAGAAGGATGGAGCACGAGACAAATTAGCAGCAGGGGTGCTAGGAGCAGAAAACACATGGCAGAACCAGACGTGCAGATCTGACGGGCAGACCCGAGCGGACGGGTGGGGAAGGCGGGCAGGCGACCAGGTCGAGCAGGCGGGGTACTGAAGCGTGAGCCCTGCATGAATCGCGAGGAAGTATCGAGCGACAGCGCGACTCTCAAGTAAATCGTGATGAAGGCCAACGTGAGAGCGATATTTCTGAAGCTCGAAGGTGCGGCGTGTAAATAAATTGCGAGGACATCCCACGCGAGAACACGATTCTGGCATGACGTGTGAGGAGTCCCGCGTGGGAGCTCGATGTCGGACTGATTTGTGAGGAAGTATCCGGCGGGAGCCGTTGTTGTTGCACTTCGGGGCCCAACAACCTAGCTTGAGCAGGAAGACTTTCCCCTATAAAAACAGGGTACGAGCCCCAGGGGGGGGCTTCAATTGAAAAACACAGTGTGCACCAGTGAAAGGGGATCAGCTATACTTATTCGTGAATGAGAGTTCACTACTACCACCACCACCAGCAACAAACGAAACAAACACGCAAAAACAATGCAACGTAACTGCAACTAGAATCCTAAAATCCGCGCAGCGGGATGACACTTCAGACACGCATCCAGCGACAATGCATGACCGTTCGGCCACCTCACTCTAAAATGACACATACAACAAGTGGTCGCAAGTGAAATGGTACCGAATCCCGCACCTCACGGGGGTTTTCCCCCTGCGCTCGTGCCGCGGGCATCGTCGCCTCGACTGCTGTTACTGCCCATGCTGCCCGTGCCTTGGCGTCGAGGGGAGCCCTCATAGACCAGCCTGGTCAGGGCCCCTTGCAAGGATGCCCGAGCTTGGACGGTCAAGGGCAGACTTTCGCGTTTGCGGGAGGACCGCCAGCCAACGACAGAGACTCCCCTGCGAGCTTAAACGTACAGCGAGCAAGCCGGCTTTCGTAGCGTCACCTATCCACGGTGGTCATCAGCGGCACAATCCAGCGTAATCCTTCACCCACCTGCCTACTGCAGGTCCGTGCCGTGTCGACCCTGGCGTTGGTTCCTGACACCGCGCTGGATCGTTCAACCTTGAACGATCGGCCGCTGCCGCAACGTCCGATCGTTCAACATCGATCGATTCTGGGTCGCCGGCGGCGTTCAACCTTGAACGCCGCTGGCGGGGTCGCCGCTGGTCGACACGACGCGAACCTGCCGTACCGCCATCCTCCTGTCCGCGGGACGCGCCCTTTCAGCGGGCGGAGCGCGCCCGCGGGGCGACGACTGCGGCGGCGACGGTCGCCGTCGCCGTCGGGAGGGGTGACGCCTGGAAGGATGGACGGGGGGAGAGGGGAGGAGAAACAAACGGACTTCTTGCGAACGCCTAGCCACCATACGATCCACCCGAATGCCTGGTTTCTTCGGGTGTGTGTGTGTGTGCCTCTCTTGGCCCTTGGCCAGTGCTCCTGGGCTCTCCTTGTCTGCCGACGTGCGCACTCAGGCCAGGGTCTCTGAAGCTGGAGACCAGGAGGGAGGGAGGAGATAGAAGGGGAGGGAGGGGAGGAGGAGGAGGAGGAGGAGGAGGAGGAGGAGGAGGAGGAGGAGGAGGAGGAGGAGGAGGAGGGCGGGGGGCGATGGGATCCAAAAAATAATACCGTCGGAGATCAGGGGCTCCACCGCGGTTTTCGGGCCATCGCCCCGGGCCTGCGGCGGCCGTTCGAGACGACCGGGGCGCCCACGGGACGCTCCCAGCGAGGCGCCGCCGCGGAACAGCACCACGAGGCTGGAAAACCCACGACGAAAACGCCAGGAAGTCGTCGGGCCATCTGCGCCGCTGCTTCTCATCGGCGGGTCCGCCCGAGGGCCCTCTGCCTGCACGGTCCTCGTCTGGATCGTGGACGTAGCGGGCGCCCTTGTACTGGATGCGGCGCGCGCCGTCAGAGTCCTTCCTGCAGCGGCCGCCAAGTTGCTACGCACCCCTGCCTGCCCGCCCCGTCCTCGCCATCCTCCTCGTCCTCCTCCTCCTGCTCCTGCCCTGCTTTTCTGTATCCTCTTTCATATCATGTTGTTCCGCTTCCTCCTCCTCATCCGTTTCCGCCTCCGCCTCCTCCTCCTCATCGTCCTCCTTGTTCTCGAGAGTGTATATCTATATACACACATACATACAAGTACAATCGTACATACATACATACATACATACATACGTACATACATACATACATACATACATACCGACCGACATACATACATACATACATACATCAGAGTGAGGGGGCCGAACGGTGATTCACTGTCCCTGGGTGCGTGGCTGAAGTGGGATTCCGCGGTGCGGATTCTTGTTGTTGTTGTTGTTTGTTGTTGTTGTTTGTTGTCGTCGTCCCACCCGGAACCCGCCCCGCGACCCACCCGCGACCCACCCCGCGACCCACCCCGCGACCCACCCGCGACCCACCCGCGACCCACCCGCGACCCACCCCGCGACCCGCCCCGCGACCCACACCGCGACCCACCCCGCGACCCGCCCGCGGCCCACCCCGCGACCCACCCGCGACCCACCCCGCAGCCCGCCCGCGGCCCACCCCGCGCCCCACCCGCGACCCACCCCGCGGCCCACCAGCGACCCACCTTCGACACAAACCACGTTCAAGGTACAAACCACCATTTTCGGCGCCTGCGGCGGGACTTTTTTCATTGCTTCCAAGTGGAAAACCCGCGGCCCACCCCGCGACCAACTCGCGACCAACCCGCGACCCAAACCACGTTCAGGGTACAAACCACCATTTTCGGCGCCTGCGGCGGGCATCTTATGCATTCGTTTCAGGTGGAGAGCCCGCGGCCCACCCGCGACCACGTTCAGGGTACAAACCAAACTTTTCGGCGCCTGCGGCGGGCATCTTTTGCGTTCGTTCCCGGTGGAGAACCCGCGGCCCACCCGCGACCCGAACCACGTTCAGTGTACAGACCAATTGTTTCGGCGCCTGCGACGGGCTGCTTGTGCATTCCTTCCAGGTGGAGATGGAGAGCCCGCGACCCACCCGCGACCCAAATCACGTTCACTGAACAAACCAATGCCGCACAAGCGCGGCGGCGGATTTTTGCATGCCGTCTGAGCCCGCAACGACCTCTTCAAGCCCCGCACATCCACACCAGCCCGTCCAGCAACTTTACCCTGGCGAGTTGCCTTGATCAGAAAAGTCGGGGAGCATAAAGTGGAAACAAGGATTGCGTCGCCGCTATCTTGGGAAAGGAGGGGGAGGCAGGAGGAGTAAACAGGGGACGAGGAGGACGCGGAAGAAGAGAGGATGTAAGGAGAATGTGGAGCAAGAAAAGGAGGAGCATGAGGGGGAGGAGGGGGAGGAGGAGGGGGAGGAGGGGAAGGAGGGGGAGGAGGATGATGATGGACGACAATTGGACGACGAGGTGGAGGCCGATGAGGGGGAGGACGACAATGGGAGGACGATGATGGAAGGACGAGGGGGGGAGAGGGAGGACGAGGAAGAAGGGGAGGGGGAGGAGGACGAGGTGGAGGAGGAGGATGACGATGACGATGAGGACGAGGACGAGGACGAGGAGGAGGAGGAGGAGGAGGAAGAGGAGAAGCCCGCCATCGACAGGGAAGGTGGGGGCCACGAGGTCCGCCGGCTCGACGACGCCCGCGTCGCCCGCGCCCGCCCCCTCACTCTTATCCGCAATTGCGGGGTGCTACGTGCATGAGTGCATGCATGCATGCATGCATGCATGCATACATACATACAGGCATACAGGCATACATACATACATACACAACTACATCTACATATACATGTCTTGATCTAGCGATCTGTACGTGTCATTCCTGGCGGCGTTCATCGCCCGTCTCCTCCTCCTCCTCCTCCTCCTCCTCCTCGTCCTCCTCCTCCTCCTCCTCCTCATCAGCATCAGCATCAGCATCAGCATCAGCATCAGCATCAGCATCAGCATCAGCATCAGCATCAGCATCATCATCATCATCATCATCATCATCATCATCATCATCATCATCATCCAACTTCTCCTCCTCCTCCTCCTCCTCGGCCTCTTCCTTCTCCTAGGGGGTCGTGGGCGGGCGGGAAGGTTTGTGAAACAGGGGAAGGAGAGTGGTCCCCTATGGGTGTACCCGCCGCAGGGTGGGCGCCCTTCGCGCGGACGGCCCCTCCAAGGGGCAGCAGAGTGGCCACGTGCTGCTGAAGCTAGCATTTCCATAGTCGCAATTCGACTTCCGCAAGCACCGATGGCACCCCCAGTTGGTGTGAGCTGAGTACTTCCCAGGACTAACTGAGCTGGGCTGAATTCCTCCTCCTTAATCCCCTTCTCACCAAATGTCCGACGATATGACGTGCCAGCCGGGCATCATTCCTCGGCTGTGGCCGCAGAAGATTTGCCTGGCGAAGGATCCAACAAGAGGCAGTTGTGAGTAGGACAGTTGTACATCTTGTCGTCGGTGGAGATCCCTGTGGGGCCATGGAACGTGCGAGGAATGTAACGACATGGGCTCGGAGAACGCATGCAACGCAACCACTAGGGACTTCGGTGGAATTCCCTATGGGGCCACGAAGCATGTGAGTGATGTACCGGAATGGGCGGGGGGGATGCATACGAACACCGCCACTGGAGCCTTCTGTGGCGCTCTCTATGGGGACACGTAGCTGGCGCCAACGCATGCGAACGCAGCCACTAGGGCCTTCGGTGGCGCTCCCTATGGGGCCGTGGAGCGTGTGAGCGGTGTGCCAACATGGAGCGGCGGTGCCATGTCAACCCTCCCACTGGGGACTTCGGTGGAGCACCCTTTGGAGCCACGAAATGTTCGAGGGGTGTACCGACATGGGTTGGGCGGGCGCATGCGGACGCACAGGGGCCTCCGGTGGAGTTCCCTATGGGACAACGAGGCGCTTGAGGGGCGTGACAACATGAGTGCGGCGGGGCCTTCGGTGGAACTCCCTCTGGGGCCACGTAGCGTGTGAGGGGTGTGCCGCAATGAGTGCGGCGGGCGCATGTGGCCGCGAAGCGTGTGAGTGGTGTGCCGAAATTGGCGCGGCGGGAGCATGCGAACGCAACCACTTGGGCCTTCGGCGGGGCCCCCTATGGCGCCACGAAATATGCGATGGATGTACCGAAATGTGCGGGGCGGATGCATGCGAACACTGCCACTGGAGCCTCCTGTGGCGCTCGCTCCCTATGTGGCCACGACGCATGTGAGGGTTGTGCAGGATTGGGTGCGGCGGGCGCATCCGGACGTGACTACTGCGGCATTCGGTGGAGCTTCCCATTGGGCCACGGAGCGCGTGAGGGTTGTGCCGACATGGAGCGATGATGCCCTGCGGACCCTCCCACTGGCGCCTCAGGTGGAGCTCCCTCTGGGGCAACGAAACGTGTGAGGACTGTACCGACATGGGCGCGGTGAACACATGCGAACGCAACCACAGGGGACTTCGGTGGAGTTCTCTCTGGGGCCACGAAACATGTTAGGGATGTGCCGAAATGGGAGGGGCGGATGCATGCGAACATCGCCACTGGAGCCTTCAGTGGCGCTCCATATGGGGCCACGTAACGTCTGACTGCTGAACCGAAAACGGTTGGCGCTAGCGCATACGAACGCATCCACTGTGGCCTTCAGTGGCGCTCCCTATGGGGCCACGAAGCGTGTGAGAGGAGTGCCGAAATAGGCGGGACGGGCGCATGCGAACGTAGCAACTGGGGAATCCGGTGGAGTTCCCTTTGGGGCCACCCCACGTTTGAAGGGTGCCGAAATGGGTGGGGCAGGCATGCGAACGCACTGGGGCCTTTGGTGGAGTTCCCTATGGGGCAACGAAGCGTGTGAGGAGTGCGCCAAAATGGGGGGGTCGGTAGCATGCGAACGCACCAACTGGGCCATTCGGGCGCATGCGAACGCAATCGCTAGGGAATTCGGTGGAGCTCCTTATCGGGCCACGAAGTGAGTGAGGGGTGTGCTAGCATGAATGTGGCGGGCGCATGCGAACGTATGCTCTTGGCCATTCAGTTGAGCTCCCTATGAGGCCACGAAGCGTGCAAAGGTTGTCCCGAAATGGATGACTGGTGCGGAGGGCAGATGCGAGGAGGGAGGGGGGGAAGAAGAGGAGGTAGTGAGACGCGGGGCGCTGTCTCTTCAACGATTCCTGGGGCTTGGATCGGACACCCTGGGGCCACCAGATTGAAAGTTATCCTGGCGAAGGACCTATCCATATGCAGTTGTGAATACCATGGTTGTGAGTGTCGCTTTAGGTGGATCTCTTCGTGGCCACGAGGCGTGTGAAGGGTGTGCCGCCGAAACATGAAGGGTGTGCCGAAACGGGGCGGGGCCACCATGCGGGTGGGGGTGTGCAGAGATGGGGCGGCGGTGCCATGCGAACCCTTCCACAGAGGCTGTAGGTGGAGCTCCCTATGGGGCACGAAGCGTGTAAGGGATGTGCCGAAATGGGGCGACGGTGCCATGCGAACCCTCCCACAGGGGCCTCGGGTGGAGCTTCGTATGGGGCCACGAAGCGTGTGAGGGGTGTGCCGGCATTGGGCAGCGATGCCATGCGAATCCTCCCCCTCCGTGCCTCAGGTGATGCTCCACATGGCCACGAAACGTGAGGAGGTACCGAAATGGGGCGGCGGTGCCATGCAAACCCTCCTACTGGGACCTTCGGTGGAGTGAGGGGTATGCCGACATGAGGCAGCGGTGCCATGCGAACCCTCCCGCTGGGGCCTCAGGTGGTGCTCCTGATGGGGCCACGAAACGTGTGAGGGGTGTGCCGACATGGAGCGACGGTGCCAAGCGAACCCTCCCACTCGGGCCTTTGGTGGGACTCCCTATGGGGCCACGAAACGTGTGAGGGGTGTACTGAAATGGGGAGGCAGTGCCATGCGAACCCTCCAACTGGTGCCTCAGGTGGAGCCCCCTATCGGGCTACGAGGGGTGCCGAAATCG